CTTAAATTATACAACACAACACAACGACAATGTGGAGTCAGAGGGCTCGTAAGTGTGTGAGGTTCTTGTGTAAAATGTGCCTGGTTCTTTTCCCCGGAGTCTGCCTCCAAACAGCCAATCAGAATCCATACACAGATTGAATTCTCCCTTTCACGACTCATAAGGCCTAGCGTGGCCTTTTTTTCCATCAGAACGCATTCACGGGATGGAAGAAAAAAAAACAAAACAGTGAGATGATACGGTGAAAACTTACCCATAATTCCTGCTTTTTTTTCTGACATCCTACCCCAGGCTTCTCGGCTGTGATGGCCGCTGACGGTTGGGTTGGTGGTGGGGTAAGTGGTGGTGGTGGTGGGGGGGGGGACAAACGCACACCAGCTGCTACTTGTATCTGTACAGCATTTTTAGTCTTCAACTCGCCTCAACTCACAGTTTCCATAGTAACGGGCTGGGAGGAATTGAAGACTGAAAATGACATACAGGACATGTGGTGTCCGGCGCTCGCACTTCGGCCCGTTGCCGCGGCGCCAGGCGTGTCCCTGTGAGGTCAGTCGGAAGGGCTTTCGGCGCGAGATAAACAGTGACAGAAGAAGAGCGCACCACCTCCGAATGACAGTGAAATCTTAAAACAGAACCCCCCCCCCTCCCTCTCCCCTCCCCGGAACACAAAAAAAGTTTCCAGCAACATCAACTCTGTGGACAAAGTTTACACCTCGACAAATTGTATTACACTTGAAAGGCTTTTGAGAGATAAGATTTACTTTCCAATATACAGCCCTCCGTATAATTCTCTGTACAGTACATGGAATCCTTCTGACGGGGTCCGGAGGGAATATTTTTCTAAAGCCTTACACAGCGTTTTGGGCTTCACTTAGAGCAGAATGAGATTACAAAGATTAGGCTGAGGGAAAGGTTTTATCAGTCCGCTCCGCTGGGACAATCTTGGTTATCTTCTGGGGGTTTTTTTTCTGTTTGTTTGTTTGGTTGTTCTTTTTTTCTCTCACCACAATGAACTGAGTTTCAGAATGGATCTTAAATCTTGACTGAAAACATATTGCTTTGTACAAACAGATTTGCTGTAGAAAGCAGCTTTGACAAAATGGCCAAGAGAAGAATTTTTTTTCTTTTCTTTTTTTACCCTTTTGGAACAAAATATGAATCCGTAATCGAATCAAACAACTAAGATATGTTATTAATGTTATTTTCTGTGATGTTTTGCAGATTCTGCAAAAAGAAAATCTGTAAAATATGTTAATTTGTTCTTAACATATAGCCCAAAAAATCATATCCTTGAAATTCAGAGGCAGTGTCTGAAAAACTAAGCCCACCGCTAATGTTTCCACAGAAATCAAAAAGGTAAATAGCTGCTAAGTGTTGCTTGATTTGATGATATCATATAAAGTTAGAGAGTTATAGAGAGTTATTAAAGTCGGTCTAGTTTTTAACCTACAAACTACTACATTTCGGCTCATAAAATTCTGAAACTGGGTCACGCAAAAGACACCCAAAAATTGCCAGAAAACAACACGGTGTTTCAAACAGAACTGAAACAATGGTGCATTCAAGGTCCCGACCACAATCTGGGACTTTAAGACAGCTCCAGCGTTCCTCGATGAACCCAAAGCAAAGTTTTAAAGAAAGCAGTGCGGACCGGAATTCCTCCACAAGGATGCAAAAGATTGATAATGTAATAAAGGAAAGAATTACTGTAATCGACTGGTGTGCTTTGTCAAGCTATTGAATTATTGGGTACTTCGTTTTGCACACAATGTTTTATTTTGCCTCAGTTTTCATTAGATATTATGTTATATTTCATGAATTGTTCATTGAAGGAACTCCTTCCCTAATCTCAAGATCCAATAAGGACTGGGATGCCTATCTGTGAGTATTCTATCTATTTATTGGTGAGTAAAATGTTAAATTTGTCCCTTTTTCACAACAGTGGGAGTTTTAAAAAAGCTACTATCCTAAACAAAAGCAAAATAAAACACAACTTGATACCCATAACGATGTTCAACGGTGAAACCCAAGAATCCAGCAGCCAAAGAAACTTGTTTGTGTTGCAGTTTAAGGCAAAATTCAGGCCAAGCGCTGGCTGCTCATTTCTGCGGACGCTGCGCTTCTGTCATGTAGAATATATTGTAAGTAGTAGCTGTCAACGGGAAGGAGTGTTCGTGTCTTCCCTGTGGAGTCACAAGTTAGATTTGTTCAGATATCTGCTTTCATACACGACCACAACAGTTCCTTCATAAACATGAAAAAAAAAGGCGGTTTGTTTATTTTTCAGAGCTGCTAAACCATTTTAGAGGCACTTTTCACGACTTTCTGTTGGCTTTAAGGGGGCAGATTTGGAAGTGAAAATGGTGTTTACTTTTATTCTGTGCCTGAGAGGAGACATTTGGGTGTCTGAGGTCAATGCCAAACTGAAAAAAACTACCCTCACTTTGTGGGTCATCAAATCTAATCACATTCACCAAAGATCTTAGCTCGAAATAGCTTAATCTAATTTCCAAGAAGAAGAATCCTGGACGCTCTTCTATTTTTGTTTGGCCACTCCAAGCAACGTATCAGCCAAATATTTGTGTTTCTTTAAAATGAAAAATAAAAAAGCTTTAGCTGAATGATTCAACCAGCTACAACAAACAAAAAAAAACATGTTTGTTTCCATGGGTCGGTGGATTTAATTAAATAACAAAAAAGGCAGCGGGAGTTGCATGGCAAATGCGAAACTAACTTTAAGGTCTGCTGTGATGTATTATTTGCGTACAAACTTCAATGTTTGTGTCCCTAAGTCCTCGATTAATAGTTTAGTGTGTATGTACAGCTAGTCTATAATCAAATATGGCTCACCATGTGCCACTCCATCCGTGGCATGAGGGATTACAGATACAGAGCAACCGCATCTGATAGTGGTGTTCATTTCCAGACTCGCTTTCTTTTTCTGCTTTCATCCTCTCGTCTTTCTCTCTGGCCCTCAAACAAAAAAAAAAAAAAATCATCAGCAGGGCTCACGCTGTCTGGTTAGGTTTCTAACCCTGAAATTGTGTCTGTTCCCTTCAAGTTGTGACAGATGTATACTTTAACATTCTCCTCCACTGTCGTAATGAGCTTTCATGCATATGCGAGCGCAAACTCAAAGGTACTGAAAACCTATTTTACAAGTCAGCCTTGACTGAATCGAAGCGAAAGCGTCGTATTTTCCCTATTTTCCTGAAGGCGCTCTTATTCATTCTCAAACAAGGGAGATTATTCGCGCTGTTTTGTCGGGTTGTCAATCAAGTGTGATTCAATTTGTTCGAGCTTTCGCCGGAAAAGACAAAGTTTTGATTTTCATTCGGATTATTTAGATGACTAATGGTGAGTTTTGAGTAATACCCTCAATTCCTTTTTTGGAGACGGTTCGGGAGATGGGATAAAACCCAGATTCCGAAAAGGCAGGGAAACTGTCCAAAATATAACGGAAAAAAAAAATAAAATTCAACACAAAAATACGATTTTACTCGCAACTGAATTAGAAAAACATCTTCAATTTCAAGACAGCACATTTCAGAAAGGCTGTGGGGGATCATTGGGTGAGAAATATTGTTGTTAACAATAATAACTCACAATATTTAGCTGATATGTTCTGCAGATGATGGAATATTACAGAATTTGTGACTCCTAATTAAGTTAATGACTCGTTACTTGTTACCTTGTTCCTTTCCGCCACTTTTCCAGCCTTCTTTTTTTCCCATCCCATTAGCTCGATGCCACCTACATTTTCAAGATTTCGTGAATGAACTATTCTAAAAACAATATTTCCTAATGTGATCAGCACATCAGTTATGCACATTTAAACAGTGTCCCCACTTTGCCGGACTTGGAGTTTTGGGTGTTTGTGACCTTTTAAGACTACACACAAGTGAATTTTAGTGAGAAAGTAAATAAAAACTATCTCCCTCTGTCTGGTTTGTTGAGCTAATTTATGAAAGAATGATCTCTTTGATTGGTAGAAAACTCCAACCCAAAAGAGTTATTGTTCTCTTGAGACTATGAATTAAACAACATTACAGCAGGGCCCTATACGAGTTGTAACTGTAACTGGGTGTTAATTGTAGCCTTTTAACATGCACCATCTCTTTTAATATTACAGACATATAAGTCATTTTTCTTTAAATGTAGTTTTTCAAATATGGATATCATGCATTTATGAATATTAAGTATTGCATATCAGTTCAATGCACAAATTGAACGGAATAATTGAGCAATAATCTCAATGGAAAAATCCCGGGTCAGCCCCCGGGGTCTTTCCTCACCACGCCGCGCCTAGGAAGGCTGCGCGACCACGATACATTTTTAATCAGGTGCCCGAACCTCCACGGGTGGCTCTCTCTCTCTCTCTCAACGTGCAGGAGGAGGTTTCTGGCTTTATCTCGAGACAGCTGGCTGTTCCGTGAGGATTTCGTAATTCACTCAAAGGTGGCTTAAAGTGATTTGAATAAAACGCAACGCGGATCCCGGGTCATGCTCAACACCAAACTCTGCTGTGCGTTCGGGCCCGATTGAAGGGAGCGACAATCACGAAGCGATTCATCATTTCATTTAAAAAGAGAGCCAGTTGAGACTTATAGAGAGGTTAACTCTCAGTACCTTAAACAACGGGTGCTTTTCACTGAAGATATAGTACATTTTAGGATTCCTCAGTACATTAAAATATCACTCAAATAGGCAAGATGTTGTTTAGTAACTCCTCTCTGGTAATAATAAATAACTCCCCTATCCCATTGCATGGTTGGTTTTTGGACTCTGTGTTCCTTCTAACATTTTTTTGTCTTCCAGAGATCATCATACATGTAGAAGTCACCTTCTTATTCACAATTCCCCCACGTGCACATAATGGAGATTATTCTGGGTCAAAATGTCATGGCAAAAACACCCATTAGGACTCTATAACGATGGTTCGCCAATAGCGAGCCTTGTTGACAAGAAAAATCAAGGATTCCGGCATCGATGGGCCATAATCAGCTCTTCCAGCCGCCTCGCGACAGGAAGGGAGGCCCTGACCCTCTCACCTGTTTATTCATGAAGACGTAGATGACCGGGTTGATGACCGTGCTGGTCTTGGCCAGGACGGAGGGGATGATGCTGGCCTCGGGCGTGACCAGGCCCGGCGGCCCGAAGGTGGCCAGCAGGGCCATGATGCCGTAGGGCAGCCAGCACATCAGGTAGCAGATCACCATGATCACCACCATGAACAGGACGCGCTGCTCGCGTTTTCTGCTGGTCAGCGAGTTGGTTCGGCTCACCTGCAGACGTCGAGGGGAAGGGAGAGAGAGAAAGAACATTAACTCATTGGCTGCCAAAGACGTCTATAGACGTCAATTCAAATACAACCGTTGACTGCCAAAGACGTCTATAGACGTCTTTTATGTTTTTCAACGAGAGTGGCTTGGGGGACGATCTGCTAAAGCTTGTCTGTAAATATCGGCTTCTAGACAGAGTATGTACTAACAAATTGACTAGGTGGCAGTGCCACTTTTGATGGGAGATTAGCATAGATTGTTGGCAAATAAAAAAAAGGTAACGGTTCGCTATGAGAGAACATGTCGCCGGTGAGACGCAAGTCGAGGAAGAACGGAATAAGGTAGAAACAAAAATGTTTTCCTGGTGAAAGAAAAGAGTCTACTCTTTATTTTGGTGTGTTCGGTGTTTACATAGTCATAGCACAAACTGTTCTGTGGCTCTTGAAAAATCAGTCAAAATGCTAAAAAAAACTCTGGCAGTATGGGACTCTCTGTTCTGAAAATGGCTAGCAGTCAATGAGTTAAGAGCTCAGCGATAGTTCGGGGTCATAGTGACACAGCGTTATCAGACGTTATGGCTTTGACCTCTGGATTTCTACCCCCTGATGGAGCCTCCAGGAAAGGAGGACTCTGTACTGACAAAAGGATTTGAGGGAAGGACCAGTGATGAAATTAAAGTAAAAAAAGTTTTTTTTTACCAATAGACTTCCTGTGCAACAGACACCTAATAGTCCAAGGAATCCATTAATCAAGTTCTTAGAGACCCTTGTGGGCTATGTTGCCAGGAGCTCTTGGTCTTGCTCCTGGATTCCCCGGACAGACAGACCTGGGGGATGAAGATTCAGGCAAATGGGATGTTTTTATTTAAGGGAAAATGAATAATGGCCACCCGGCCTTGGACAGGGGAATTAGAAAACAGGAACCATGCCCCCAGGCCGGTGAAGCTAGCAAGAGTAGTCAAGGGTTAACGAGCAGATGTAGCTTGTAGCTGCGCCGTTTGCACTCAAAACAAACTCTTGGCCATTGGGATCTTCCTCAGTTGCCTAGGAAAAAGTTGCATTTCTATTCTAGTTTTATGACATAGTCAAACAGTCTACAGCGAATTCTCCTGCCCTGTCAAACCAGCTTCTTAATAAACCGCTAAGATATAGAAATACAGTTAAAATGAATCACATGAGTCAGGTTTGGTACCAATTCTGTCCACGCTTGTGTTTCGGTGTAATTGAAATGGCAGTTTGAATAAACACTCCCCTCGTTTGAGTTATTGCCAGACCGCTGTTTTGTGTTCTCATCAGATCGCCTGGGATCAAATTGCTCTGGCTTGCCGCTTGTCGCCATCATTGAGATAAACGACAGGAAGGAGACATTTGGGAAACGCATCACGATTGCTCTTTTGTTTTTATTAAGCCGGACGCCTTCCCCCCTCTCTGCCAACTCGGAGATATCTGCGTGCGCGTTTCTGCCCCGTGGCCACGCGTCTGCCGCCGTCACTCAGCTTCCCCACCGGAGAGACAGTTTCAGGCAGAGTTCAGATTTCACCACAACCTCCAGCTGGGACAGATCCTGTTTTTTTACCCTTACGTTTTTGTCAGGGGGTAGCGTTCTGAGAAGAGAAACTACAAATGCAGATGCTTGCTGCATGTCAAGCAAACGATTCAAAGTAGAAAAACGCACGGTTCGAATATTTAGGAAAATAATAACAGCGAAATTCAAAACCCCAGTGAGCCGTCAACTTATCACGAGGAGAAAAGAAACAAAACACTTTGCCGATTCTTCCTCTGAAAAGACCTGATTTAAATTGCTACGATTGCCCTTTCATCCTTTCATTCCGCAAACCGTGATAACGACCAGGTCTTGCAATGCAATTTTCCCAGCACATACATGTGTTTATGAATGCCATGTGGGTAAAAAACAATGTGCTGGAACCTGAATGGCTGCCTTTCTGCTCTGTGGTTTTGTTCCCCCCAGTCGAGCTCGCGCATTGTTTGGGGCTCCCCACGCCGTCACTCATATTGGGGCATTAGCATCAGAATGGAGCTCGGCTCTCATCTAACAGGTGTGTTTGCGCTTCTTCCGTGACAAGTCACGGAGGGCATGAGAGTTGTTCTATGGAGGCAGACTAATCAAACCATTCCAGGAGTGACAGCCACCTTATACCGCACGCGCTTACCCTCTAGAGGCTTCCACAGCTCTGCAAAGGGGGAACCAGGTTCATCCAGGGGATTAGAATATTCCTTTTACACTAAGCGTTTACTCTCTTGTGTATCATGTGTGTCCACAGCTGCTGGGTTGATCATTTTTCTAAAACAAGGGGATAATTGAGACAAAAAACATTGAGAATTGACAAAACCGATCAGCCAAAGTTTGCTCTGTGTCTGGTAAAACGGCTGCCATATGTTACCTGCCAGCCCTCTTAACTAAGGTGTGTTATTAAGAATAACTGTAGTGTTAAAAATGGCAATTTCACCCTTGCTGATAACGCGAAACCTTACTGTCATTTGTACAGTCGCCTCGTTTCAGGATTCTTTACTGGAATAAGTTACTTTGCTTTTAACTTTTGAATGTACGAATATTTCTATTTGTTATGAGCTGATTTTTCAGTACAGAATTTAGTTAGTTTAGACACTGGGACAACTCCAAGAAATATTCCGGCTGCTCCTCACTCCTCTAAGTGCAGGGAGAAAATGAGTTTGTGTAACAATCCTTGCAATTGTTTAATATTCATAGAAGAAATCCTCATAATAAACCACTCTAAATTGTTTCATGCAGTAGGCTGAGATACCTCATATCAGGAGGGAAGTAGTTATCAAATAACTATCTTGGCAGAGCAGCACCCAACATATTTGTTTAAAAGAACAAATTGAGCATGACCAGTTTCTGCTAATTGATGATGTGTATGAATGACCTAATTAACTTAATACAATTTATAGCCTGTATTAAGCAATAACGTAATTAAGTGTAAATGTAAGACTTCATAAATCGATTTAAGAGCAAGACAGGGACTCATATGTGCTTGCATTCTGAGATAATGCTGTGTCATTTTCTCATTAACACCCAAATGAATGTGGTTGAATTTAACACAAGCCTCTGGGACTGCCACGGTGACACATGCCAGCACGTCCGTCTCCCTCCCAGGAGATCTGTGAGAATGACCTGTCCATTTGCTAGAGCTGGAGACCATCGTAAACATGCGGTCCACATGGCAAGGATGTGGAAACTCTGATTTTACAGATCCTGTCAAACAGCTCAAATAGGACAGGATCAAATGCGTACATTTGCACCTTGTTTCCAAGGGAAATAAATGAGCTCAGTTTAATCATTTTAATGCTTATATTTTAAGTTATAAAACAAAAAATACCTATTAGGAGGAAACTTTATATTTCTATCGTTGAAGGCCAAAGATCCATTCAATGCACTTTAATTCCACTTTGGACAATGTTTCCCCTTCTGTCCCAGGTGAGGCCCATTTTGCTGCTTTCATTGCTCCTTTGCATCTTATTGAGACTTTTCGGAATTCATCTTCACGTGAATGAAAAGGCCAGCTGTCATTTTTGGTACAGGAGTCCGTTCCGGGCCTGTGCGCGTTTCCCATTTTACGATCTCGGGAGAGCGAGTGGCTAACGGCTTAAATTTAGCCGCTGATTAAATTAATAGAGCGCCAGAGTTCAGACACAAATTGAGGAAATGGAGAGTAAGTGCTGGATGATTACAAGCGGCGAATGGGGGTGGCCGGGGAATGACACCGGCCTGGCAACCCACTGCAAGACATAGTTTCATATGCTAAACAGCAATAACAGTCATTTGCGTGAATGTGTTTTTTGCCCGTCTGAAGACACAAGTCACTTTGAAGACAACAAGCTTGGCCATGAGAACTGAAACAACAGAAGGATTTTTTTTTAAATGTGGCTGTGAAGTGAGAGTGACTAAACCTTTTCTTTAAAACTGCATCGTGGCAGTCTAAAATAGGGCCGTTGAGTATAGGCACGGGCCCAAAATGACATCGATGCACATTCTGGTGTGAATCACCGGCTGGAAGACAAGCTTACCGGCAAATGCTTGTTAAGGCAGATTATATTCACATCGTTTGCCAATTTATTTGTATATGTCACGGTTCCTCATCTCTCTGGATGACAGACATTGTCTCTTTTTTCTGGCGAATTTGTTTTTTTTCTTTATCAAACATAAAAGTATGTTTAAATCTCAACTACAAATTTTCCAGGGTGTAGATCAAACATTTCCAACATTCACAGAGGCCTACAGCATGACACAGCAGTCTTATTTCCTGATAAATAACCTTCAGGTTCTCTCCGAAACGGCGATGATGAATATTGTGCCGCTCTTCGATTTGCATTTGATAATGAAAACTGTCTCGCACCGTCTGCATTTCAAAGAGCGGATGCTCAAAAATTGTTCACACGGTGTTTAAAAGCATGGGCCGGATTACTTCTCCAGCCTATTTCAAAGCGCCATCGCTCTGCCTGTGCTAATAAGTTATCTAAACTTTAAAGGCTTCTCCCAGGCTATAATTTAACCTCTAAAATCTAACTCCTGCTCATTAATATCACATACAACTATCGGCTACAACATTAAAGCTGCTGACAGGGGAATTAAGTAACAACGCTGACCCTGTTACTATATAAAGTTCTGCCCGATCTGATTTATATTTGACACATGTCAGATTACTAATTATTGCCGCCGACCTGTCAAACACCCTCAGATTTCAGCGGTATTCCACACTGGCAGCCAGCGGTGGGTCCCTCCAAACTATTTACAAAGGGCTCAGAGAACACAAAGAGTTTTAGATGTAGTTCCTGCATCGAAAGTCCCCCGATCCCAACCTGATAGGTCTGATGAAATTTTAGGAGAGCAAAGCTGATCTACAAAAAATCCATACCACAACAGCCTTACAGGGCCCAGTGGAGCCCTTGTCAACATCC